TAGATATTTCCTGCAGCCCTGCTTCTGGTGCCTCTGAGTAGCTAATTCAGGCTAGCTCATGTTGTTTAATCAAGTTCAGGCCAGTGGCTTGAGTCCAGCATTCAAACTCAGGAGTCCAGGATTGCTTTCCTAGCTCTGCCTCTGACTCACTACGCTACTGCGGTATTGCTTCACTTCTTTTTCCTCTCCTGTCCTTTGTCCGTCTATTCAGGTGGTAAATTGTTTGGGACAAGGACTACCACTATGTACACTGCTCAAAAATGAGTCTCTAATCTTGGGGTTTCTTGGCAATATAGGAACAGAAGACTATATTAGCAACGCGAGTGATTCAGGTGGATTGAAATTAGGACCTGGATAGATAAATCTATTTGACCCCATATAGTCTGAAGGCATTTCTAACCAGGCCTTGCTGGCTAAAGAAAAATTCTGATGGTGAACATACAGCTGACTGTAATTCAGCTCCAAACAGAATGATCTTAGCAGATGTTTCTCCTCTCTCTCTCTCTTTTTTTTTTAACCCTGTAACTATTAATATTATGAGCTGACTCTCTCCCCTTACCTGTCACCTCCCTTTTGCCAAAAATCCCAATGAAAAAATCTATTTTCTGTAGCTTTAAAAACTTCAATGAGTCCTGTCTGTCTTGTTTTGAGTCTTATCTGGGTTTATCTAAGGTTTTAGAAACTGCTGGCTTAATGTGGCCTTTAAAAATACCCTCCCCTCCCTGATACAATCAGAAGTTGAGAAGTCTGAAGCAAACAAAACAGCTGAGTTACCCAGTCTCCATAAGGTTTCCATTACTCCCTAATTGAATTAACTCTGATTCTAAGCTTGTTACAGCCAAATGTTGAAAAGACACAGCAAGAATGCAGGCTGGAGCTGCAGCACTTCCAGTGAAATAGAATAGTAAGGGGATAACATTTTCTCTTGGTGCCAACTGCTTCAGTACAACTCCCCTGACTTCCAGCTGATTTATACCAAAGTATCTGGCCCCAGAACCAGAAGCTGTTGAAGTCGCTGCAAAAGAAATATAAAGGGTACAGAGAGTACAATGGATAACCTGGGGACTCAGCCTGTCATTTCCAGGGGCTCACAAGTGAGGGACACAGCATTTTATCTCCAGTGAGGCTCAGCAATAGGGGTGTGTGACCTTCTACCTCTAGGTCCACCATCCAGTTCAGGCTAGGACTGTGGAATAAAGAACTTAAGATAGGTACTGGTCCAGCCCGCAATGTCCGCATTGAAATAATTAGTGACAAACAGGCATGAACAGCTCGGTTGTAGGACTGACAGGGCCTTGCAAACTGAATGACCCCTTTTCATTACTCCTAGAGGAATTCCCTCCAAGTCAGGGCTGATTCATAGTGCCCACTAGGGAAAATCCTTTCTGGCTATTATACCAGTTATGTGGATCATAGGTGAGTTTTTTTCCTCACTTCCCACAAGAACTTGACGGGCACTAGAAGGAGAAGTCAGACATGTAAAGCTCCTTCATTGTTGTAAGAATTGAAGCTATTTTTTCTGGAGCTGCTTCAAAAATGATGATGACAGGCACCATTATAAGCACTCAGACACCTGCATACATTAAGCACACAAAAGCAGTGGAAGAAACTTTTCTCATTTCCCCCCACCTGTGATTACCAGGTCACAGTGTTTGTGAGTGAGGTAACCTTCATCTGCTATAGTTCCTCCCATTGTATAAGCCAGAAGTTAGGGCAGGATGCACTGAATAGCATCAAGCTGACTGATGACATTAGTCAGCTCCATGAATGCGTTTGGATGTTTCCTAGAACGCCTGGCATTAGCTGAGCCTGAGGATGCCGAGCTGGGAAGTGATTATGAAGAAGAGGATGGTTAAAACACAGATACTGCATCACAGCTAATCTCTCTTTTTGCAATACAGAGATAAATCTCCCAGCTATTGGCAGAGGGAGTCCCTACTGACTGGTGCTAACAGGATTCTCTGGTCTCTACTGGAGAGAAAAGGTGGGGGTAAAGAAAATAACAACGAGACTTGGTAGACAATGAAGATTTTCTAGTGCTTATGGCACTAGTCTGCCACAGGCTTTCTTGACATTGAGCAATTAGCTCCATACTATGCCTCATTTCCCCACTGTGAAATGGGAATAAAACTCACCTTCTTCACAAAGGTGTTGTGAGGGGAATCACCTACTGGTAAAAATCTCCTAGGAATAGGCACATAGGTTCAGAAAAAGAGGATGGACCTGAACCCAGGTTCAGGGGGAAAAAAAACACAAAGCACATTGTAGGGTGCTAGTCTGACAGGACCGAGTCATGCGTTTTCCCCACCGTTTTGAGCCTGGCACACTTTGGGCAAGCTGCACCCTTTGTCTATACCTAAGTTTTCCAGGTTCAAAAATGGAAACAGCAAAGTTCTGCTTGCTCTGTGGAGTGTTTTAATAACTTTGGATGAGAATGGCTAAGTGTTATCAACATTTTTATACCATGTTTTTAAACAGCCCAAGCTACAGAAGTCAAATGATCTTTAAGACCCATATTTCAAATCCTTCTGCACTTCCAGCCTTATCTACAACTGGAACCCTCAAGGCCACACCCTCCAACCATCTATACTGTAAATTCCTACGCTCAACTCCTGCTGGCAGCCCAATCCAAGGCAAGAAGCTCTGCTGATCTTCCAGGGACAAGGTCACCCTGAATCTCCATTTGACTCCTTGCCCTCCCCTCTCTGTATTGTTTGAAACTTGAGCCCAGAAAGTCCACAAGCAAGGGGGTATAAGATAGCACACCTGTGCCAACCTAATCTAGCTAGCAGGGGTGACAATAGCAGTGAAGATACAGCAGTGCCGGCTTTAGCATCTGCTTTGCACTCTGGAGTGCTAAGTCCTGGGAATGCCCACTCTATTGAGCCCAGGGACTTTATTGAGCTACACTCACACCATCCTTTTCCTGTGGAGCTGTCCCACATATAGAGTTAGTGTGTGGCTGCTATGTACATGACAACATGAGGGTCTGGCCACTCCTGGTGATTAAAGACCCCAGAGCTTTGTTTGCTAGAATAGGGTTGTCTTCTACAATGACCTGGCTAGAATCCAGTTGGGTAACTACATTAAGTCAACCTAAAATTCTCCCTGTTGTTTCACTTGGACAAAGCATTCCTCATTTGTCAACATGCAACACTGGGGACTGGCCAAGAGCTAAGTACTCTTCCACCCCAGAAATGGTTGCATCTCATCAACAGATGAAGCCAGAGGTGCCCAACCTTTTGCCCCATAGGCCAGAGGAGCAGTCCTAGGTCAGTCTATTGGACAGCAACTTGAAACTCTATGAGATAAAAGCTCTCTACAGAAAGGACTGACTGATGCAGTGCATAAAAATGACTCATATCAACTCATGTCACTGCTCTAATTTTATCACTCTTATTTATAGCAGATTCAGTACAGAGATTTTAGTTTACATGACAGATGCGCTGTGCTGTCTTACTGTAATGAGAAAATGCTGCTGAACTTTCACCATAGTCCTTGCTCAATGAAATATTTCTAAAGATGGTTTTAGAAGGTCTTTAACTTCTGTCTTGAGGTTAAAGATAGAGCTGGACATCAGATACCAAGTTTTATTCTTAGATTTGTCAGAGACTCTCTAGCTGACATGAGGCAAGTCACTTGGGGACAGATGGAGATACAGTCAACTTGAGAATCCTTGGGGCTTGAGATATACAAACAATGTTGCACTTCATGTTTGTTGTCTGCTTTGTCTTTGTGGCTTTTCAGAAACGTCCTCTCTCTAGTAACTGCTGTAGTCAGCAACCCACCAACCAGAAAGCCTTGTAACCAGGAGACAAAGCAGGAATCAGGCTTCATTTTGAGACCCCAAGTGCTTACAGGTTTCTCAGCCAAGACATTTCAGTAAACACCACTTGAATTAAGAGCCATAACTCTAATAGCATGGGACATGGTTTATAATAAAACAGCTGCACTGTAAGAAAAATTGCCATGCTTGTTTAACCATATTTCAAACGATACTCTGGAACCACAAACATTAGGGTATAATTTAAAAGCCAATATTTTCTTTAATTCCCTCCCACGCACTTTGAGAATCATCCCCTAGGTGGTCCCCAAATTTAAATCCTGCTGATACATTCCCATGCTCAATCTCCTTCAGAAAGTCAAAAGACACTGAAGGCTTGTTCCCCCAAAGGGTTTCTAGGCCTGGGGATGGCCAAGAATAGAGTACTGGAATAGAATTTAGCAGGCTGAAATTTTTCCATCAACCTTTTATAATAGAAAAAAGGCCTCTTACTAGGTAGAAATGTTTACAAAGAAACATCCCTTCTCATTAAAAATTCTCATGTTTTCAATGAAAAAGAGAAAAGAAAAAGCAACAGCCTCAAATCAGAGTAAATTTCAACTCTTGGCAACCAACAAGTGAAAAGTTTTTGTGGCTTTCTACTTAATATTTTCTGATTTCTGATGGAAACACAGAAAGGCTTTCGCAGCCTGGCATTAACAGATTCATTTTTCAACCTATACACAGCCTTTTTTTTTTTTTTTTTTACCCTTACCCCTCATATAATAAAAGTAAGAAGTGCTGAATTAGTAAATGTGTCTGGGTCTAGTTTTTAGAGTGTTTTTAAGTACTGGCTATAGAATGCCCCTGACAGCCAAATCTGCTTCTGTCCAGGCACAGGGAAGGCTAACACAGCCACAGGGAAAACCTAGACAGCTTTTTACATCAGCTTGCAGCATTCTGCATTCACTTGGCTCTTTCCATCACATCCCATTTTCTTTTGACTACAACTTAATGAACCATTAGTAAGCACCCTGCAAATGTGTATAGAAGAAGTAGGGCTCTCTCACCTGACTGCAGTACAGACACTAACCCTCAATTACACATTGCACCAGGTCATTCAGAACTCCCCTTCTAAAAATCAGCTTAGAAATCAGGGGAACTAAACAGTGAGATGGGTTGGAGGCAAGTGTCCTCTGGTAAAGCAAGGGAGTTATCGGAAAAAAAAATGACTTACTGAAAGTAACCGTGTCATTGATCTTGAAGCTGCAGAGGACTCTGTCAACATTACGGGCATGTCGAAATCCATTCCCTCTCACCACAACTTGGAACGATTCTAAAAGAAAAGATGCAAGGAGTTATTTGACCTAGGTTTCTATGGCAAAAGGACTTTATTTGAAATTTCTTCCTCTGAAATTTTCAGTTTTGGAAGCATTTGGCCAAATAGAACACAGAGATCTTAGCTTCATATCATCCTTTCGAAATGGAATGAAAATTCCCATTCTCTTTCAACTTTTTGTCACTGAAAATCAAAACAAAACCTTTTATTCATTTCTTTACACTTGTTCCCTTGAACACTTCATGAAAGAAAACCAAAATTGGTCATCATTTTCATACAGCTTTGTGTTATTGACAAAACTGTCATTTTCAGAGGAAGAAAAACCTTTCACTTCGCCAATCTTGATTGGCTTCAAGTATAATTTTCCCAGAAGCAAGTAAAGAAGCCCCAGTGTTCTTGCGTCCGTCTCATTTTACAACACTGCCAAGGAGAGTGGCCACAAATCTTTTGGTAGACCATCTTCCAGGCTTTGTTTTCTTAATGGGTTGATAAACACTGAGCTTGGCTGCTCAGGAGAAGGGGAATAATCAGAGCATCCTGTCCAGGCCTGGTCACACTCCCCTCAGCTCAGCTTTGTGTAAGGGAAGGGAGGGCTGCTGTAGCACCCCCACCCAGCTTCTAGCCTGAGCCACTGCAGGCATGTGTCTGCATTTCTGGGACGTCTGTCCGGTTACAACATTGATTTAGCCTAGCCAGGTTAAACTAACCTGCAAAGATTGAATCAATTCAGGCTCAGGCTGTTTGAATATCTGTTCCTAACCTTTAAGTGATGTGCTAGACACCCCAGGTTTGAGCCAACACAGCTGGATGGTGTAGTTAAAGTACTACCAGTCTTCTGGAGCCTTGTCTACAATAGTTTCCAGAGTTGCTGCAACCAGTGGAGATGAATCAGCGATTACAGTGGGAAATTTTGACCACCTCCTAGCCACAGCCAGTATGGGGAGGAGAGCATACTGTAGCCTTCGAAAAGGTGAAACAAGAGCTATTCTGGTCTGTGCTCCCAGAAACCTTTTTCTGGAAGCAGACACAATGGTGATTTACAGCTTCTTGCTAGGGGCAACAAGGGAGAAAACCTTCTCACTGCTTTTAGTACAAGCAGAGGTGATTGAAATAATATGCAATTTATCACGCAAGTATTACAACATTAAGCTGCCAGGTACATCCCAAAATTGCCAGTCAGTAATTTGTCCTGTAAGGAAAGAAAGATTATAGAAAAAGATGGCAGCCCTGGGAGCCCACAACTGGGATAGAAAATATTGAAAGAAGTTCTGAGATTGAACTGACATCTTCAGCCACAGCAGGGGAGATGTACAGACAGACGCCAGGCACCACCTCTCCCTGCCTGTTGTCACCTTCCTTCTTTGTCTTTCAATTACTGTGGATCATGTGGGAAAAATGTTTATGATTTATCTCAGAGAAAATGCTTGCATAATCAAGGCATCACGACATGATCTGTCGTAAATGCCCTCTCTGCCTTTCGAAAATTCCTGGCAGCAGAACTGAGCCAGTTTCTGCTGATTCAAACGGCTTTTTTTCCCTTGTGTATTTATTACAGGAGACACTGCCCCTACCCCCAAGACCACCCTTCCCCCCACCCTGACCCCTAAGGGACTTGTGCACTGGAGTTGTCCAAGGAGCACATTTGTTCTAGAATCTGGGCTGCAGTCCAGGCTCCATTCTCTTAGAGCCAATAAGGGTCAGCTGCAGACCATCCCATCACATCTAGCCAAGGAGGCCATTGTGTATTGTCCAAGCTCATTCAGGAAGAACGGGGGAGCAGTGCTAAGCTCTGGAGGGTTGGGGAATGGAAAGTCCTTAAGAGTGACCCTAGGGATCTAAAGCCCTGGGATACAGGACTTGAAATACAGTAAAGCATAGCATACAGACAGTGCCCTGCTGATCTAACTTGGAATTATAATTAATAGCCTCAGTAAGAATGATCATGTTCCAATGTTTATTAAATTCTAACAGCACAGAGAGCAGATTTCAGAAGGGAGAGTTACTAGGGCTGGGCAAAGATTCGGTCCCTGATTCGATTTGGTGGAGATTTGGCCCAATAAGGGGCTGAAGAGCTGGACCAGGAATTCTCAGGTCAGCTCGCAGAGGCAGTTAAGTCGAGGGATGACATGGTCATCACGGGTGACCTAAACTACCTAGACATCTGCTGGGAGGAGCGGTCAGCTAGGTCTGACTGCTCACGTAGGTTCCTAGCCGAGATACAGGACCTCCACGTAACCCAGGAGGTGCACAGTCCCACCAGGGGGAATGCCTTGCTGGACCTGGTCCTGGCCACAGGCAACGACCTGGTGAGGGGGCTGCGGGTTCTTGACCACCTGGGTGATAGCGATCATCGCCTACTGGAATTCATCATCCATTGCAGGGTGTCAAAGGCCTGCAGCAACTTGGCAGCAGTTCTGGACTTCAGGAGGGCTGATTTCAATGAATTAAGGAGATTAGTTGGGGAGGCACTGAGGTCCCAGAGGGGAGGGGAGCTGGGAGTCCAAGGTAAGTGGTCGTTCCTTAAGGAGACCATCCTCCGAGCCCAAAGGGTGACAATCCCAATGCGAGTCAAAGCGGGCAAGAGTGCTCAAAAGCCCCCATGGCTCACCAAAGGCATTCAGGATTGTCTGAAAGCTAAAAAGCAGGCATACACCCGATGGAAGGTAGGGGCCATCACCAAGGAGGATTATACCTCCATTGCTCAAGACTATGGGGAGGCTATTAGGAAGGCTAAGGCGGACACAGAACTGGGACTAGTGACCCAGATCAAAAACAACAAGAAGTCCTTTTTTAAATACATAGGGAGTAAAAAGAAAGCACTGGGTAACATGGGGCCCCTGCAGGACACACTTGGCAATCTGGTGGTTGCACCAGATGATAAAGCTGACTGCTTTAACAAATTCTTTGCCTCCATATTTCTGAGCAGGGACAGGGATGTCTCCCCCACCAGAATCCTGGATGGACTCAGGAGAGGCACAGCCGGGCTCAGGGTCAGAGAGGACCTGGTCAGGGAACTTCTGGTGGGACTGGGCATCTTCAAATCAGCAGGTCCACATGATTTCCACCCATGGGTGCTGAAGGAATTGGCAGAGGCCATTGTGAGACCCCTGGCACAGCTCTACGAGCACTCATGGTACTCTGGCAAGGTGCCAGAGGATTGGAAAAGGGCCAATATGGTCTCCATTTTTAAAAAAGGGAGAAAGGAGGACCCAGGAAACTACAGGCCCGTTACTCTTACCTCGGTCCTGGGGAAGCTCTTTGAGAAAATTATCCAAAAATACATCTGCGAGGGACCAGGAGGGGAGATTATGCTTAGGGGCAACCAACATGGGTTCATTAGAGGCAAGCCCTCTCAGACCAACCTGGTGGCCTTCTATGACCAGATCATAAAATCCTTGGACGCAGGTGTTGCGGTGGACGTAGTTTTTCTGGACTTTAGGAAGGCCTTCAACACTGTCTCTCACCCCATTCTCATTAAAAAACTAGGGGACTGTGGTGTCGATGCCTACAGTCAGATGGGTCACAAATCGGCTGGAGGGTCGCATCCAGAGAGTGGTGGTGGACAGGTCATTTCTGACCTGGAGGGATGTGGGCAGTGGGGTCCCCCAGGGCTCAGTCCTCGGGCCTCCACTGCTCAACATTTTCATCAGCAACTTGGATGAGGGGGTGAAAAGCATCCTGTTCAAATTCACGGATGACACTAAGATGTGGGGAAAAGTGGGCACGCTAAAAGGGAGGGACAGGCAGCAATTGGACAGGTTACAAGGGTGGGCAGATGAGAATAGGATGGGTTTCAATACTAACAAGTACAAGGTAATGCACCTGGGGAAGAAGAAACAGCAGCATACTTACAGGCTGGGGAACTCCCTTCTCCTCAGTACAAAGGCAGAAAAGGATCTTGGAGTCATTATCGATTCCAAGATGAACATGGGTCGCCAATGTGGGGACGCAGTCAGGAAGGCTAATCGCACCTTGTCATGCATCCACAGATGCATCATGAGCAGGTCCAAGGAGGTGATCCTCCCCCTTTATGCAACACTGGTCAGGCTCAGTTGGAGTACTGCGTCCAGTTCTGGGTGCCTCACTTCAGGAGGGATGTGGACAACATGGAGAGGGTCCAGAGGAGAGCCACTCACATGATCAGGGGTCAACAGGGCAGGCCCTATGAGGAGAGGCTACGAGACCTGAACCTGTTCAGCCTCCACAAGAGAAGGCTGAGAGGGGATCTGGAGACCATCTATAAACTTACCAAGGGGCACCAGCGGGGAACAGGAGAGACCCTGTTCCCCCCGAGCACTACTAGGAGTAACAAGGAATAACGGCCATAAGTTGACTGAGAGTAGGTTCAGGCTGGACATCAGGAAGCACTACTTCACAGTCAGGGTGGCTAGGATCTGGAACCAACTTCCAAGGGAAGTGGTGCTCGCTTCTACCCTGGGGGTCTTCAAAAGGAGGCTAGATAGACACCTTGCCGGGGTCATTTTCCCCCAGCATTCTTCCCTGCCATGGAAAGACGGACTTGATGATCTGCTCAGGTCCCTTCTGACCCTACCAACTATGAAACTTTGAATCAGGAGACCCTTTAATCTCTCCAAATCGAATCGGAACCCTCTGAATAGATTTGCTGAATCTTTCCAAATCTCTCCGATCTGGACATAGACACAGCTTTAAATGTTTTTTCTACGTACCTCAAGATAGCAGGCAGCTTGTCAACACTGTGATGCTGGGGTGGATGGAGCATCCCACAGAAGCACAGGGGGCTCCCCAGTGTGCTTGGTAGCAGACCTGGAAGTGGACCAGAAGCACTTCTGGTCCACTTCCAGGTTCACCGGGGAGCCCCTCCAGTGCCTCCCTGGCTCCGTGACTGGTGCCTCCTGGGTCTGGTGGGGCACACCTGAGGTCCCCCCACAGCCGATTGTAGAGCTGGAGGGCTGTGTGGGGGGGGGGCCCTGCACGCTCCCTGTCGGACCCAGAAGCGGACTGGAAGTAGTTCCGGTCCACTTCCAGGTTTGCAGCCAAGGATGGTGGGGGGCCCCGCCAGCACTCCTGTGGGATGTTCCATCGCCCCAGCATCGCAGTGTTCACGAGCCACGCCTGGTACCTTGAGGTATGTAGAAGACACATTTAAAGCTGTGTCTATGGTTGAATCGCTGATTCTCTGAATCAGCATCGAATCTTCAGATTTGGATTTGGCTGAATCGAATCGGGGACAGCGATACAAATCAACAAATCGAATCACTGTCCCCGATCCAAACTGAATCCAAACTGAATACAGCCCCTTTCACACACCCCTAAGAGTTACTGCTGACAGCTGAACCATGAGGGTGAGGGGGAAATGGGGTGCACTGCTCAAACTGGGATGCCTGATACCCAACTAGTGCATCTACTGGTGACAGCACTGACCCCTGATTCAGACTTATCTAATACACCCCAGGGAGAACAGGGATACAAACCTAGTTTTTCCACCTCTTAAGTGACTCATTTAACCATACAACTCCTGCCTGAATCAAGAAAGTTCAGGTTTTGATTCTGGGGGTGATGGGGAAGGATATTTTGGCTCAGTTCTGTTTTTGGTGAAAATGTTCAATGTCTTATGGAAAGAAAACAAATATCAAAACCTCTAAAGTTGCTGCACATCAGAATAGTTACCCTCCAGTCAGCTCTGTTGCTGTTTCTGTATGTTATTACTGAAACAATGCCCAGGATGGCACTGGTGTTGTCTTGCCAATGAGAAATAACCTTCAGATCCTAGATAAATAATCATGGTCAGTAAAGAACCCCTAGGCATTTTTCAGGGTAGCATTACTTCCTTGCCAAATCCTAGCTTGAGTAATTATGCAACATCTCCCTACTCTTTCCTTCTTCTGCTCATTTAGATACAGAGTTAATTTATACTTTCTATTAAGTCTACTTAAATATATGATGAATGGATGCTCCAAGAGTTACTGAGACAGTGATAAGATGCCTATGAGCACATAAGAAAGTGTTTTAGGTTATTAGAAACACGATTTTAAGTAACCTATTGATCCACGTGACACTATAACAGTCTATGGCAGTGATCAGTGATTTACTGAAGGGTCCTGTCAGTATGCATTAACCTTTTATAAAATATGCATAAATTGACCCATAATGGAACCAAAACTTTTATGAACTGTTACCATACTCGGGCAAGACTTTTGCAATGCCCAACCTAAAATCACCTGTATTTCAGAGCTGAAGAGATCCCTATATATTATTGGCACATCATTTACTAAGTTACTCTGTAGTTCTTTTGAATGAAAGGTCCTCTGTCCAACTACAAGACTATGACTGTACAGTCTATAGTGGACTATACAATCCACATTTTTAGTAAAAAATTCTCTCAATGGAAAGCTGAGAGGGGAAATAAATACTAGTAACTATTAGACAAACTAATTCAGGAGAAGCTCAGCATTAAGTAAAAAACCACAATACCAAGGATAAGTTCTGTATTCAGTTATCTGCCAACGTTTAGTTTGGTGACCTATGGCTTTGCTTATACATTTACTGCTTGTAAGGCAGATATACAGTCTGTCCAATAATAGGAAACTCAGGAAGCATGAGTAGAATAAATAGTTCTGAACTGGAAACACAAAGAACTAATTATAATTTATTTTCTTATTTGAACTACAAAGTTATGAAATGGAAAGCTAATGGGAGAGTTCACCACTGAATCACTGTGTTGCGCTGCACATTTTGGCTTTGATCCTGGCCCCTCTTCCTTGTTAACTGGTCTGCATTAAACAAGCAGTTGGGATCCAGTCTGTGCAATGAGCCAAGTTCCTGGGAAGCAGCTGGATCTGGAATCATCTAGAGAGTAGCTCAAAGAGGCTGGGACCAGCTTTCAAGCTCCATTGTGATGGGGCTGGATTTTGTCAAACCTGGAAATACTATGTTCACTTCCAACAGTTGTAAGTCTGGTATTTAGAAACCTGCACTATATCCTAACTGTTAGGGGTGTGCAAAGTGGGCCCTATTCAATTCAGATTTGGCCTGAATCAGGGACAGTGATTCAATTCATTGATTCAGATCACTTTCTCTGATTCAATTCAGCTGAAGCTGAATTTTAAGATTTGATGCTGATTTGGAGAATCAGTGATTCGGACATAGACACAGCTTTAAATGTTTTTTCTACATACCTCGAGGTACCAGCATGGCTTGTGAATGCTGCGATGCTGGGGTGGATGGAGCTTCCCACAGAAGTGTGGGGGGCTTCCCTGCACGATCCCCGGTAGAATTGGAAGTGGACCAGAAGCGTTTCCGGTCCACTTCCGGGTCTGCTGCCAAGTGTGCTGGGGAGCCCCCCGCGCTTCTGTGGGATGCTCCGTGTGCCTCAGCATCGCAGCATTCATGAGCCACCTGCTACCTAGAGGTATGTAGAAAAAACATTTACAGCTGTGTCTATGTCTGAATCTCCAAATCTTTCTAAATCTCTCTGAATCGATTTGGAGGGTTCTGATTTGATTTGGAGAGATTAAAGGGTCCTCTGATTTGATTTGGAGATTCAGTCACCAAATCGGGCTGAAGCTACGCTGAATTGAATCAGGGACCAAAGCTTCGCACAGCCCTACTAACCATAACTATGGTAGACAAGCACTTCTAAGCATCCTCAGCATTTCCTTTACACTTCTGTTGACTGTTTAGCTCAAGGCCTGTACCTCTAAGATTGTCAGTTTTAGTTAGTCCCTTAAAACTGCCCTGTATAATCTTTAAATGGTTAAATTTCAAACATGAATGTGAAATATTTAGATGCCAGGGGAACTGATATTGGAACAGGAGACTTGAGTTCAAAGCTCCCTGGGCACTATTGTAAAGCATTTCATTCATCTACACTTGTGTGTCCACTAAACCTGAAGGACAGAATCACCCATACTGTACACATCAAACTCGTGCTGCACCAAAGGCTGGCTGCAACAATCCTGTTCAGTGTAATTTCATTAAAAAATGGGATTTTTTCATTAAAATAATGGACACTAAAATTTATAACAAAAGCATACTTCATTCTGAAAAGCAATCTTTGATTGAAATGTCATCACCCCCTGCCCCCCCC